TATACACACACATATATATATATGTGCAACATCGTTTTGGCATGTGGGGTTCTGCACAATATTGTGCAGGACAATACTGTATTGTAGTGTGCAGGGTGCAGCACAGGAGGCGGAGGACGGATGCTCTCTACTACACCTGGCAGTTGCCTGTGGGACTGGCTCTAAGCTGACCTGATGCTGAAGACCACTCCGCCTGGACCTGATTTATTTTAAACATTTTCTTAAACACTGACAAATGACATTTAGATCATTTATCATTCAAACATTATTAAGAAGTAATAAATAAACCCTGCAATAGTGCAATTATTTCAACACTGGTGGCCTAGTTGGTGGCTCAGACACAGATGGTGCGTCTGTGTCTCCTCTGCCACCTGTTATGACCGAACCATAAGCAGACCCAACAAGTGTGGCCACGCACTCCTTGGTCTGGGCAAATTTATGGCTGGGGTCAGGCTGGCCTCATCCAGTCACTGTGGTGCGGCGCTTACTTTCAAAGTTCAAAAGGTTTTTATTGTCAATTTTCTATATGTGCAGGACATACAGAGAATCGAGATGCTGTTTCCCTCTCACCTAGTATTAATGTCTTACAATTTAAGAGCTAAAAGAAAGCTAAATTGGAATAATAATACAATAGAAACAATATGTACAAGAAAAAATACAAAATAAAACCAAGCAGTATAACTAAAAGACAAGACACTCTAGAAGATACTCTAAACCTATGTTCAATCAAGATGATCAAGGTCAAGCCCGGTTCTAGGCAGGCACATATGAGGGGGCAGTCATAAATGTGAAGGGGGCATCATGCTCCAGCACATTTTTGCCAAAGGTACAGCTGTCACTCACTCACTTGCTCGCTCGCTCGCTCGCTCGCTCAATGTGGGGACGCTGTGCGAGTGCCCTATAGAGGGTGTCAAAGCACCCTGGTCTCAAATGTGCTCACCACTTGTTTTGTTGTTGATAACAGTTTTCTACATGGAACTGGGTTGTTGGTAGCTGTGTGTCCAACCCCCAACCTAAAGAAACGGATTGCACTTTGTCAGGCCTCTACCCTAACACCTGTCCAACTTGGGTGTCCCACCTGAAGACTAAGCTCCTGCTGGTATCGCTCTTAGGGTCACTGAGGCACACAAACCCCCTGACCACAATAAGGTGACAATCCCTCAGGAAGGAAAACTGAAAAATAAAATAAACAAAAAATAAAATAAAAATTAAGAAAAAATAAAATAAAAATATCCTTCATCCAGGCACAACCAACATCTTAACATTTATCTTATTGGATGGCCATTAGGCATCTAGGCATATGAAATAAATTTGAACCTAATAATTACAATAACCTCACTATAGCCAGTATTTACCAAAGCTAGTCTTATATAAAAGAAAAACTTACCAAACTACACTTCTCTTTCTATGGGGCCAGCTACATTTGCTACCAAACACTTTTGAACATTCAGTCATTGCATAGGGTGTGAAATGTGAAGATGTCATTTATGATCTAGATGGCATTTTAGAAGCCATAGGAGAGCAGGAAATGTTTCAGTGGAAACTATGAGAGTACATGCGCCATTAAAAATAATTGGCATGCACGCGAGAAACAATGAAAGACAATTGAACACACTTTGTGAAAAGTTAATAAAAGCTTTGTAAAAATTGCTGTGATTATCAAAAAACAGCGTGCAGAACTAGAGGCTGGGCGGGGCTTTATGTAGGGGTCTGGCACACACAGGGCATTTGTCCTCAGTATGTGACATGCAGCAGGCACTCATCTCTCGTTGTGCTTGTGTGATTGAAGAAATGTTCGCACTGACAGGCTCACTCTCTATGCTCACACTTTGTTGTTTACTATATATTAAGTATCTCACGACACGAGACGCTACAACAAGTTTAACGGAGCTTCACTTCACTGCTGCATTCTGCCTCACTAAGACTGAGAAACCTGACGCCAATGCATCTTGGCTCATTTGCATACTAAATAGTGATTGGGTGTTTACTGGGGGGAGGGTCTCTGCCGACTGCAGACAGTCACACACAGCCGGCACACAGGACGGAGCGGAGTGGAAACAGATGAGAAAACTTTTCAGTTTTGTGCCTTTTTTGGCAGATTTGATTTGAGGGGGCAAGACATTTGTTTAAAAGGGGCATTGCCCCCTCTTGCTCCTGTGTAGAACCGGCCTTGATCAAGGTGCACGTTAGAGCAGCCTATGGGATGTACATGATGTACATGTAGTGCAAATGACTAACAGCAGCAGATACGGAGTGGTGGAAATGGTTAAAGTAAAGTGAAGTGAAGTGCACAGTGTAAAAACAGACAGTCAGCAGCAGTTTGTAATATAATATAATGATAATAATAATACAACACTGGGGTGCGGATGTAGTGAGTCTATGTGCAAAACAGCAGAGGTAATCTTTATGTGCAGTGGAAGGAATTACAATCCAGGGGCATGGGGCAGAGGGGAGAGGTAGTGGATAGAGTTCAACATCCTGAAAGCCTGGTGGATAAAGCTGTTTGTGAGTTTTGTGGAGTGGACCCGGAGGCTCCGGTACCTTCTCCCCGAAGGCAGGAGGCTGAAGTGGGCGTTTGAGGGGTGGGAAGTGTCACTAGCAATGCTGATAGCTTTGCAGGTGAGGCGGATGTTGAAGATGTCTATGAGGGAGGGCAGAGGGGTACCAATGATTTTGCTGGCTGTATTCACTATGCGTTGCAGAGTCTTCCTTTCTTGGCCAGCGATGTGGTGTTGTTGGTTCAGGAGAGGTCCTCAGAGATGTGCACCCCCAGGAACTTGTTGCTGCTCACCCTCTCAACAGCAGCACAGTCATTGGTCAGTGGGGATGCTGTGGAATTCTTCTCCTGAAGTCCACGACAATCTCTTGTTCAATCTCCACATTGAGGAAGAGATTGTTGTCCTGACACCACTGCACCAGTCGGCTCATCTCACTCCTGTAGTTGGCTTTATCATTGTTGGAAATGAGATCCACCACAGTCGTGTCATCCGAAAACCTGACAATGTGGTTGGTGCTGTGGGTTGGCACAAAGTCGTGGGTCAGCAGTGTGAAGAGCAGTGGGCTGAGCACACACCCCTGTGAAGCCCCTGTGCTCAGCGTGATGGTTTTGGAGGTGTTGCCGCCGACTAGGGCTGCTCAATTAATCAAATTTTAATCTAGATTACGATTTGGGCTGTCAACAATTATGAAAACAAAATAATCGACATAAAACGATTATGCGCTTCCTATCAGTTTACTCTTGTCGTCTTGTGTTGCAAATGAAACGTACCCGGAAGCCGCGCATGTGCAATACCTACCCCTCCCCTCCTCTTTTCACACCACCAGCCAGTCAATTAGGTGAACTACGAGTAATGCGAGGGGCAGGTGATCGTGGAAGATTTCAAAAACAGTGTGTGGAAAATGGCAGAGGGAGAGCGAGAGAGGTTGGTCTGTGTGTGTGTGTGTGTGTGTGTGTGTGTGTGTGTGTGTGTGTGTGTGTGTGCGTGCGTGTGTGCACGCGCATCGGGGCCGAACTCTGCTGTGCGCAATACAGAGAGCAGAGGAGAATTTTAAACGCGCATGTACAGACAGAAATGACATGCCGTCGTGTAAACAATATGTCATCACGTGCGCAGCATAATCGTTTGCATAATCATGATTTCAATTTTGATCAAAATAATCGTGATTATTATTTTTTCCGTAATCGAGCAGCCCTACTACCGACCGGCACATTTTGTGTCCTCCTTGTTAGAAAGTCCAGCACCCAGTTACAGAGAGAGGTTTTAAGTCCCAAGAGTCCAAGATTTTGTATGAGCTGCTGGGGAATGATTGTGTTGAATGCTGAACTGAAGTTTAGGAACAGCATTCGCACGTATGAGTTCTTTGAGTCCAGGTGGGTGAGGGCTGGATGGAGAGCAGCAGAAATGGCGTCCTCTATGGACCTGTTTGACCTGTATGCAAACTGAAACGGGTCATGGGAGGGCGGAAAGATGGACTTGATGTTCTGGATGACCAGCCACTCTAAGTATTTCATGATGGTGGAAGTCAGTGCTACGGGCCAATAGTCATTGTAGCTGGATGAGTGGGGCTTCTCTTGAACTGGTATTATTGTGGCGGCTTTTAAACACATGGGAACAATCGCTTGGCTCAGGGAGATGTTGAAGATGTCCGTGAGGACATCCTTGAGCTCCTTGGCACAGTCCTTTAGGGCACGACCAGGTATGTTATCTGGTCAAGCTGCCTTGCGTGGGTTGATCCTGGAGAGGGTCCTCTTTACGCTGGCTGTGGACAGACACACAGCAGGATTGCTGTAAACTCCCTCAGTAGATAGAAAGGTCGGCATTTAATGATAATGAACTCCGCCAGGGAAGAACAGTGTTTGTAAACAACAGCAGCGTTCCGGCACCAGCCATCGCTGATGTAAACACTAACTCCCCCGCCGCGAGTCTTACCTTTCTCCACGAAGACCCGGTCAGCTCGGTAGCATGTTAGTCCAGCTAACTGGATATTGGAGTCCGGGATGTTGTCATTAAGCCATGTCTCCATAAAAATGAAGACACAGCAGTCCCTTACATCACGCTGCGCAGATCATAGGAGCTGTATGTGGTCTGTTTTGTTGTCAAGTGGCCATACATTGGCCATAATGACGGATGGTATCGCTGGTCTGTGTGGGTTAGCTGCTAGCCTAGCCTGGATGCCTCCGCGCTTGCCTCGCTTCTGCTTCCTTTCACACCGCTCCAGCGCCTCCTCTCTGGGTGTGATGTAGCAGGTGGGTCCGGTGATGTAGTAGTCCGGCGGAGAAGTCCCAGACCCTGAGTTCCTCTGTGGCTTTCTGTCCAAGTTGTGATGTTTTGATTTATTTCTTATATCCAGAAAGCAGTGGCGACTGTATCTTCTGTGCAACGTAGACGCTGAACTATGCCCACACTGACGTAAACACAAAGCACAAGAACATTCACTGGAACACACAATTTTAGGCACAAAACTCGGAGAGAGAGGGGCCGCTGCGTCCACGCCGCCATCTTGATCTTGCAATGGCCTATGGGCTGCAACACATTTTTTCATGGATGGATGGATGGATGGATATAGGTAAGAATGAATCATGGATGTACAAATTAAATATTCCATTCTCAGCTGGAGTTCAACTGTCCACTCCAATGCTGTTGAGCATAGCAATGATTTCTTTCCATACTGTGTTTTTTTTTTGACTTCGTTTGATGCCACTTTTCAGGCTGCCAAATAGAACAAGTTGGTTAAACTGGACATGGGATTTTAGCATTTCCAGTCCAGAGAGATTTCTCTTCTTGGCCATATAATGTTGCAAACTCTAGGGGCAGGGCCTCTAAATCGAGAATACATTGGGACGATTGTTTTCAGCTGCCACATTTATCAGCACCTGAACATTTCTACACTGTGATCGGTGAGATACCAACATTTCATGAATGACGCATGAACCCACCTATAAGATGATTTCTGTGCTCGGATGTGCGCTGGTTTGTACGTTAAATTGAAAAATGACGGCCAGTGTGTGTTCTTTGTGTTACAAATGACATTAAATGTTGTTTATCACAAAAACAAATTACATTATCAACAGAAATTGTGAGTGGGTAACATTACAATGGTATTTATTTCTTGAATAAAAAGATTTTAAACTTTCTGATTATACAGCTAATTAAATACTCTTGTATTTAATACCACAACAATCGTTTAACAATTCCTTCATGTTTTACATGATCATCCTGGGACTTGTACGCCTGACAAAGTTGTAAAAATTCAAGTCATCATCTTAAGAAAACATGTAATCAGTGGGAGGTTGGTCCATTATAAGGCATAATAGTCAATTGTCAATGGACTGTGATCTTTTAAAACAGATATTCCAGAGTAACTGGACAAAAAAAAAAAAAAAAATATATATATATATATAAGGTTTTGTTGCAATTCACAAGAATGAGTAGAGACTTAATTTGGTTGTTTGGCTATTTTCCTGTTACACCAAGGATGATTCTTAATTGATCCTGGAATTAGACCATTTTCTTATGGGGCCCAAGGAGCTAGATGTATACTTATAATTTGCAGTCCTTACCCAGTACAGAGTTTTGGGCCGACTCCACAGTCATTAGCATCTTCCGGGGAATCCACAGGAACAGTTCCTCTGCCTACACACACACACACACACACGCACACGCACACACCAATTGAGGCTGTTGCCAAAAAGGTGCATTATTTAGCTTTAAACATAGCTTAGCTAACACATGGCCCTGAGCCAGAACTGGCCCACTAAAGGCTCTAATCCGGCCCACAGGATGACTTTGCATGCCTAATGTTGTTGCACTTCCCAAGGCCAAGAGTTGCCAGGTTTCAGGAGCAAGTTGAAGTGAGTCGCTGACCTCAGGTAAAATGTTGCTTCAGAGGCTTTTCACCCTGATTAGAATACAGTTCTTTGGAAAAAAACAACAACAAATACTTACCATGGTCAGACTTAAAGATATTAAACATGATGCAAAATATTGTCAATCAGCAGCCTCAGTACAAAAGAATCTGTATCAGACGTCTATCTTAAAAGGTCCAGTGCGCAAGATTCAGGGCCATCTACTGGCAGAAGTGGTATATAATATTCATACCTATGTTTTCATTAGTTTATCATCACCTGAAAATAAGATCTGCTGTGTTTTCTTTACCTTAGAATAAGCTGTTTGTATCTATGCGCCAGTGTTAATTTAATTGTCAAAAGTTTTTCATCAACAACCTTTTTTTCCATGACAAAAATGGGATAATGAGGAGCTAAAATTGACCTTGATAATAAAAACTGAGATGAAATTCATGTTTTTAATTTGTGTTGATGAGACAAGATTTGACGAAAATGTTGACATGAAAAGCAGTGCTCGTAATCATTTTCAAATGCCGCAGGAGCGAGAGGCTGGCAAACTCCAGTAAATAGTCTGCACCAGGATATTTGCTGGCTGCTGAAAGGCAGTGGAGTGAGCAGCCACTGACCGCCAGACTCTGTTGATCCCCGCAGGACTCCACTTAGTTCAGACTGTCTTGAGAAGGTTTATGGGTTGATGCTGTTTGACAGGCAGGTAAGAGGCTCAGTTATCTGTGAGTGTAGCTGTGCTGTAAGTAAACTCATATCAGTTTTCTTTGACAGAGAAGAAAGATTATTTTTTTTATCACCAACTATGTGAGAGGACACGAGTTTAAACCTCCAGACTAACATGTTGCAGATTAAGAAAGAATTCAGGCTTTAATTAAGTTATTTCTCTGCTTCTTAACAGTGAGATGGATAAGTCAGAGTTTACAGTGACCCTGGGTACAAATCCTAGTTGTCTCAGATTAGTTATTTTCGGTGTCAAAGTTTTTGAGAGCATAAATGGAGAGATGTTGAGCTTTTCAAATGATGATCAGTAAGTGTGTGCTTGTAAATCACCCCTTAAACCTGTCAAAAACTGCTGCAGAAATAACAGTTTGTAAGTGTGTAGAAATTAGACTAAACATAGGATAAAAATGACTAAAATATAACTAAAATTACTAACTAATAATTTTTTTTTTTTTAGAATTTTTTTTATATTTTTTTATATTTGATGTATAGTTGTATATTTTTTGTATATTGCATATTCTGTATATTCCAGTTCTTGCCTAAATTTGAGTATATATGTCAATTCTAGTACACTGGGAGCAAGTCTACCGGAGTCAAATTCCTTGTATGTACACACGGACTTGGCGAATAAAGCTGATTCTGATTCTGACTAATACTAAAATAGCTGCCAAAATTAACACTGCCAAGTCTGGAGCGAGTCCTCTTCCACAGAGTCTGCCATGTTGTTCTACAGTAGGGCTGCAAGATATTGGAAAAAACTGACATTGCGATTTTTTAATTTTTGCAATATATATTGCAATATTAAAAAAATACAAGAATTTTCACCAGATGACTTCAATAGCTCTATTTGGAAAGAATTAGGTTGACTGATTGTGACACCATTGTATTCATATATTACCCTTCGATTAATTGAGGCTAAGGTCAATGATCTAACATGTCATACTCCAGTGTTTCGCCTACCATTATATTAGGGGGTCGCCCCAACCCCCAGACGGCACCCACCGGAAAAACTGAGGCATATTGTTGAAACTGAACTTCTTTTTCTTAAGATGTCTCAGACTGTTCATCATCTGCTCTGTAAATGGATGAACATTTTCAAAATGTACTTCTTTACATTAAGGAAAGAGGGAAGTTTGAAGGTGCTGTCATTTATAAGTTATTATAGATAACTGTATTGCTCTTGATTCTGTATTGCACTGGGGGTCAATGGAGTGGTTTTAATACTGTAGAAACTTCAACAGTGTAAGTGCCCACTGCTGAGTTGACCTCACCTTGATGTCTCTAGTGGCCTGCAGGCCGTAGCCCTCCGTACCAAAGTTGGCCACTGTGAAACTGTCACAGGACGCCCCGTTTTCCCGAGCCCAGGACAGCAAGTCTGGAAAGCAGTCCTCTCGGCTGCCCTCAAACAGTATTGACATACCTACACACACACACACACACACACACACACCTCTTTTTTTTCCCCCTCAAAAGTCATTCTTGACATCAAATATTACTTATCACCAGGCCCATATGGAACTCCGCAGATTTTACACATACAGATGCTGGTTGTAAAACTCTGAATGTTGTCACTGTCTCCTCCACACTGTAAATGTGTGTGACAATGTGTGTTGTATTCAGTCAGCATTAAAATCAGAGTTAGTGGTGTAGTAGGCTTGTGCCAATTTCCGGTTTAACCGGTTCGGTCCAGTTTAAGAGCTCCACCCGGTTTAATTCACGTCAACTGGATAAACTGGGCCATTTGGCTTTAAATCAAACCAGCTGGAAAATTTTAAAACCGGCACAAGCCTATGGTGTAGTGAGAAGAAATGTCAAAATAAGATTAACTGTTAACAGATTGGCAAATATATTTTTTGTTTTCTCTGTTCCACATTGAACTTCCATTTTGTTGATTGACTTTTCCAACAAATGCTTAATTTCTTTTCTTCAAGTATTCATGATTAAATCAAATTTCTGATTCAGAGTTTCTACTAAAATGTACATGGTGGTTCTGTTAGCCTGCTTGAGGTAATTTTAGATTTTAATGTATTGTGTGAGGTTAATTTTTTTCCAAAACAATTGTTATCATAATCACAAATTAATATTGTCTATCACATTATGAAAAAAAAAAAAAAAACATTCTGCAGAATTCCACAGATTTTCATTTAGGATCACTGCTGAAAACAATTAAAAGTGATTCCATTTGGGCCTGCTCATCACTTAGTATTTCTTCATTAGAGTGAAATAAAATGTTAAAAATCATTCATGTGAACAGTAGAAATACTGTGTGCATGGCTGTATACACTCACCTTTCTGTTTCTTGCGGATCTTCTCCACCAAACCTCTGATCTGGATGTACTCCTCCCACTCTTTACCAGCAGAGGGTGCAGCACTGCTGCATTCTGAGGAAGCACACGCTGACCATCAACAACTCAACTCTAGCAATGTAATGAACTGTAAAGCCAACACACACCTTCACCGTGACATGTTAACTTGATTATACAACACATGTCTAAAACATGGCACCACAGAGAGCAAATCAATACTACATCATACAGCTTTTCACAGCGGCGTGTCAAGGGGCTATATTCAACTTATCTTGCATTGTAACACGCATTATGACAACTTAATGTTTATGTTTGTTTATAAATGAAGTGGAGGAGCCTACAAGTGTTTTGTTTAGTTTGTCTCAGAGGCTGCAGAGCGACTCCGCAGCTCCGCTAAGCTGTCTGCTGCTGCTGCGAGAGATCAAATTTCATTGGGGGTGGGGAAAAGTGCGAGGGAGTCAGCAGTCATTCAGTTTGTTGCCCTAACCAAAGATACTGGATTATTACTGTACTATACAGTATAAACTATTCTGTACTATTACTACTATTATTACTATTATTACTGGTTTATCCACCGTCTTTGCCCTAACGTCTTGGTGTCCTTCTGCTTCTTCTTCTTGTGTAACCTTGTGTGTATTGGCGGTTAATACAGCATTACCACCACCTAGTGGATTGGAAGCGCATTACACCTATAATGGGCTTTTATTGGGAAAAATAGCTCCGTGGTAAAATTAGGTATATAATTCGATATATCGGTTCAGTTAGATATTTGGCTTTAAATAAAACCTGTTGGAAAATTTTCAAACCGGCACAAGCCTATATGGGGCAGACCATATTCTCTAATATTGTCTATTTTATCATACTGGCCAGACTGTTGCTCCTCCCATGTACTGTTGCACAGTAAAACACGCCTCAATAGCACCACAATACTATACGTTCATTGATAAAGCACGTAAACATAAGCATAAGCCAGGCAACCCTTTTGATTCATTCAGCCATTCATTTTCCATGACCATTTATCCTGTTGGGGGTCGCAGGGGTGTTGGAGCCTATCCCAGCTGACATTGGGTGAGAAGCAGGGTACACCCTGGACAGGTCACCAGACTATCACAGGGCTAACACATAGAGACAAACAACCATTCATACTTACATTCATACCTACGGGCAATTTAAAATCGCCAATTAACCTGCATGTCTTTGGACTGTGGAGAGAAGCCAGAGTACCAGGAGAAAACCAACGCTGACAAGGGGAGAGTATGCAGACTCCGCAGAGAGGAGTGCCCCAACACCAGGTTTGAACCAGCAACTCTCTTGCTGTGAGTCAACAATGCTAACCACAGCACCACTGTTCCACCAACCTTGCTGACGTGTGTTGTAAAAACTTCTCAAAAGGAAAACATCTTGTTATTCAGTTAGCTTTGAAAAAACATTCCATATCCCTTTAATGTCTACACTAAGAAAAAGGGATTGGAATTTTTTTTTTTTTTTTCAGTTTTTATGTCCTTGGGCCATCATTAATAGAAATCAATGTTTCTAGTGTAGTGGTTAGAGCACTCATCTTCCATGCGGAAGGTCCAGAGTTCAAATCCTGCTGGGGTTGACGTCAGCAAAAGCATGCGCTCGCAAGAGGTTCCCACCACCGAATCAATCAGGATCAGATTCCTTGAAAGGACAACTTCGGTATTTTTCAACCTGGGCTCTATTTCCCCTTGCGTATGTGTGCGTATGATTCATGGGTACCACTCGTTCTAAAATTGGTTCAGTATTGAGCTGTGAAACGAGCTAAAACGGTAATGGGGGCAAATGCGTCCCGTATAAAAGTGCTTTTTTTCGCCACTGACCGGTTCAGATCGCCAGTGCCATCTCTGTAAATAGCATATGGTAGCGGCCCTGGGGCAGTGGTGAGTGTGAATGAGTGGAGTCAGCTGTCAGTCAGTGTTGGAGCAGAAAGGTGGAAGTTGTCCCCGCTTGGTAATGTAAATGAGCATGTGTGTGTTTTAGCTCGTTTCGCGGCTCAATACTGAACCAATTTTAGAATGAGTGGTACCCATGAATCATACGCACACATATACATGGGGAAATAGAGCCCAGGTTGAAAAATACCGAAGTTGTCCTTTAAGGAGTAACTCTGGAATCTGAGCCAAGTCCTCAAACAGGGGCGCTGTAGATGGGAGGTTCCAGATGAAAAACAGGTTCTAATGTTTATTTATTTTCAAAATACTCCTTAGTTTTTTTTAGTAGTTTTGAAGGCCAAACAGTTGTGAAGTCACTTCATGGTAATTGGAAAAAATTACGTTGGTAGCGTAGTGGATAGTGCCAGCGCCCCATGTACAGAGGTGATGCCTCGCTGGAGCGGTAGCAGGTTCGACTCCGGCTTGCAACCCTTTGCTGCATGTCAACCCCCACTCTCTCTCTCACCCCATTTCAATCTCTCCTGTCCATTAAAGGCAAAAAGCCCCCAAAAAACACAATCTTTAAAAAAAAATAACAATAATAAAATTAAAGTCACACTAATATATTTTTTTGTCATCAAATACAGAACGGACTAATGTTACATACAGTACAGGCCAAAAGTTTGGACACACCTCATTCAATGCGTTTTCTTTATTTTCATGACTATTTACATTGTAGATTCTCACTGAAGGCATCAAAACTATGAATGAACACATGTGGAGTTATGTACTTAACAAAAAAAGGTGAAATAACTGAAAACATGTTTTATATTCTAGTTTCTTCAAAATAGCCACCCTTTGCTCTGATTACTGCTTTGCACACTCTTGGCATTCTCTCCATGAGCTTCAAGAGGTAGTCACCTGAAATGGTTT